GAAGGGTGGATGCATGTGTGGATTATAAACACCGGAATGGATCATGGGTTGAATAGCTTGTTTTCATGCTGTAAACATTGAGGGGAAAAGGAGTGAAGTACTCTGGATTCTGACAATTGGTGTGTTTCTTTTAAAAAAAAAAGAGCTTTGCCATCTGTTGGGGTCTCCTTCAAATGTACTTAAATTTCACTTTGTTTTCTACTTCCAATGTAATTTAAACATCTAAAACATTGTACAGAGATTTGTACATTCGTGTCTTCAGACAAATGTAATCAATGTGTTAAACTGTTGTTCATTTTGGGCAGTCTCATCCAGTTTCTGGTGTGCAAAGATTGATACCATAAAAATGCCCTTGATTTAGTATCAATTGATCCTGAATTGTCAATCTTTTCTGATGTTACACTGATTGCTGTGAGAGGTGCAAGGGTCATGCTGATGGAGGAGAAGGAGCACTTTAGCATTCTTCAGAAACTATTGCTTAAATTGAGAACATAGAAATGGAGTCCTTCAGTGTATTTCGCCTTGCAAGCGAGAGGAACTGGGTTCAGTTCCTGGGCAGGGCGAAATGTTAGGCAAGTTTCTTTACTCCATACACCTATGTTTACCAAGCAGTAAGTTGGAGCTGGATTGCTGTTCCAGGAATAATAATCCTTTCCAAAAAAATTATGGTTTGGTCACTCAATCCAAACTGTTTGTGAGACACTGCTGTGCTCAATTGGCTTCCGCATTTTGTCCACAAAGTATGCAGTTAATTGAAATTCACGAGGAGAATGTTCTTTAAATTGCTTTTGTCCTGTTTAATTCTAGATTTGTGTCATGATGCATAATTTGGTACATAATCCATTCCAAGAAAAGTTACTTTTTTAGAGGGAGGGACGAAAAGTTGAGATATAAGGAGAGAATAGCTTTTTAAATGTATTTCTTTGTTAGTTGTAAAATGAAGCACAATTTTAACCCAAATAAATTGAAATTCTTTCTCTTTTCCATGACCTGGACTTTTCCATAAAATTAGTCCTTTTGTGGAGCTTTTCGTGGATGTTTTTCTCTTACGGAGTCCTAAGTCATTCCAATACATGATGTATTCTCCTTTGATCCTTTTATAACCTGAGTGAAATATTAAGTTGCTTCTTCCCCAACTGTTTTGAGATTGTTAAAACCCATTTCCTTTCCAGTGCTAGCTTAGTCTTTGGCCAGGGGTCCCGAGATTCTCCCACTCTCCTTTCTCTCCGCACCTCCAAAAAATCCTTTCATTCAGAGAAAGAATGTTACTCATCACCAATCACTGGTACAGCTGCGACTGTTTCATTTATACCCAGAAAAGATATGTGATTCAGAAAAGAGACAAAGCATTATCTGTATTTCGTTTTTGGTGACGAAGTGAAGGTTCTTGGTGTTGTATACCAGATTATTTGTACAGCCAAAAGCTATCTTGTGCTCTTGTCCTATGCATATTAATTATGATGGGCTTTGCATTTGATTTCACACTCGCAGTGAGCATACATTTAAAAGTGCTTCACAAGTACTTGATGTGCAGTGTAGTGGCTGTGCATTTGTTGGAAACAATAGCTAATTTGTGCACAGCAAGATTCCACAAATAACCTGAAGGGCAATTTATCTGCAGAATTGTCAACAGCAAATAGCGAGAAGTTTCCTTCTGTTTTTGAATAGTATCATGCGATCTGTAATGTCCAGCTGAACAGGCAAACTGGAATTCTGTTTTAACATTTCATCTGAAAAATGGAAACTCTTGAGTGCTGCACTCAAATATCAGTCTGGACTTTGAGCTCATATTATGGGGCTTCACCCTTCAGCATAACCTACCCAAAAGTGAGAATGATACCAACTGAGCTAATTTAGAATTCTAATGCCTAATTCTGTGCAGATTGTTATGGATCAGTTTATTCAGTGTTCAGCAGTTATGCTCAAATGTTTTGACAGAACAGTTTTCAGCAATGTGATCTCTGAGTTCAAGATCTCGTTCTCACATTTAAATCCCTCCAAGGTCTCACCTTAATCAACCCACTAACCTGGCTGCTCCCTTTGCTCAGCAAGCACCGGCCCGGCCTGCTTCACTTCATTTGCCCTGGCCTCATCGGCATCAGCTAGTATGAGCCATTCTGCCCCTAATCTCTGGAATTGCATTTCAGATTCCCACTGACTTGCTGGTTCCCTCCCCTTTTCGAGGTATGTACTTATTTGACTGCTTCTGGTCATCTTTTAACAGGAACAACAGATTACATGTGTATAGCGCCTTTCACTTTGGGAAGACATCCCAAGACACCTGATCTTTCCCCTGAGGTATCCTTTGGTTCCCACTCTCAGCTCGGAATCCCACTTGTGAAGATCTTTTAAGAAGTCCTCCTATTGTGAAAAACGCTATATAAATGTAAATTGTATTGTTTACTAACTGTGCAGATAGGTAGCCATGATCTTACCACATCTAGCACATTAACAGCTTCAGCCAATATGTCTTAGATGTATGTAATGTTCGTGGCTCAGCTCAGACTGTTGATTATTAAATCAGAAATTTTAGAATGCTGTAAAAGTTCTTTCTGACTTTGCCGAAGGTGGCATCTGAATTTCATTTATTTCTGGAAATAGTGGTGCTTAAGTTATTTCCTGCCACTTCCTGTTTCCTTCTTTTGAAGAAATGTCATTGAATTGATATATGTGAGGGTTATCTTTATGTAAGTAGAAAGCAAAGGTTCTGATAATCAAGGGTAATTGTTTTCCTTCTCTATCCCCATGGGACAAAAATTCAAGTAAATCCAGCATTAATAAAATTTCTAATAGCTAAATCAACTTCAGAAAAAAAGGACATCATAGTATATCTCTGTTGCTCCAATGAAACTTAAGAGTCACTCAATAATTGCTTGACTATTTAGCCCAGAATTCAGATTTTTAATTGAGACAATCTGCAGGCCGCAGCTTGGAGCGATAACTGTTCTTGTTATCTAAACAATCAGCTTGGTATCGTGCCCATCATAAACTTCTGTGCTGGACTTCAGAGATGTTATACTTCTTTCAAGAGGCAAAGAGTTAATTTACCTTAAAATTGTTGCATTGGTTTCCACTTCTGCAAGGTCCACTAGAGATTGTCGATCAGCACCACATTGATTTGGCATAGTGGTGGAGCTACCCTCAAGCACATGAAAAATGCCTGTTATCAAAATTCTGAAACAAAATTTCATATTGGCAGAGTGTGGTAAAACCTTGTTTCATACTATAAATGGTCCAGATGATGTGAAGTAAATATTGTCGTGTAAATAAATAAGCCTTTGATTTTTCAAATAGCATACTGCTTCGACAAGTATATTTTCCTTTAAATATTTTGTATCGTGATTTCAGAGACACTGAATAGAATTTATTGGACTGTGCTCAATTTCACTAATTTAGTAATTTACTAATTTTCATTTATCCTGCCTTTCACAATGTAAATAATGGAGTCTCACAAAGGAACTTTCTGAAATTTAATTTATTCACTTCTGTCTGACTTTAGTAGTTCCGTCTTGGATCAACCACAGTTATTATTATGCTCTGATTACTTCAGAAATATTTGGTTGATGTTTCCTGTAGTGTCTTCTTTTGAATTTCTGCAGTAGAATCTTCATAACTGATCATTGTTATATAAAATGTCTCAAGACGACACTAAACAGAGGAAGGGATAGGCATAAAATTGTGCTATTTTTCTTTAATGTATTTGAATTTTGAAATGTCTTGAGAAAAAACACATTGAACAATAAATTATTGAATGTGACTTTACAAATTAAAAAATTGTGCTGGGGCATTAAGTCCAATATTATGTAGATTATTTTGTGATTTGATTGTGATGAATGCCAAGTGGACATTATTTGAGAAGAGAGTTTGTACCAGTGTCCTGGCCAATAAGCAAATTGGTCAATGACTCCATGGCTGTTCGTGGAACATGATTGTGGCATATACCTGCTGCATTCGCCCACAAAATACACAGTCAAACCACTTTACAGTATATCCTGTGAAGTGCTTTGAGGTATCTCAACAACGTGATCAGGCACTATATCAAATGCAAGGATTATTATTATTAAAGTAATTTTAGCTGATTATTTTGTTTTCCCATTTTTTAAAGAGAGGAAAAATTGCAAGTAGGGATTTTGCCAACTGTTTTCCAAATTAAGATGGTTGACTTTTTTCTGAATGTTAATGATTTAATAATATCATTAATATTATAATATAATTAATCCTGCACATCTGTTGTCCCCACAACTTTTCAAATGGGTTTGACTCCAACATCTTCTGCATGGGCAGTGTACAGGAAGTGATGATAGAGTGACCTGACCTGGCAGTTCACCTGACATGCTTTTTTTAAAAAGCAGTGAAGCTGGCAAGTCATCACTGGATGTTGTGTGCTGGGATTTTTGGTACAGCAAGGTCCGCCGCAGACTATAGTCCACTGTAAGCCCAAGATCATTCAGTCCTGTACTCCCAGTACCACTCTGTATTACAGAAAGTATTTATTTTGCAAGACAAAGGTTGTTGGATTCATTGAGGCCTTTGCTTGAGTTGATCTATTCTTTCCATAGTGAAATAAATATCTAAAATTTCAATTAATAAGTGACAAGCTACATCAAGGTAAACCTTTGTGAATTTGGTACAGTATTCTATACTACTGTTCCTTGTCAAGTTATTTTTGGCAAGGTTGAGGCAGATTTTATTTCTTCTACCAATGGGTGGAATTCGTTAATTGGTTGCTTATTTCACAACCTGCATTTTTTGGTTTTACTGAAATTGTTTATAATTTTGTTTCAGATTTGAATAAAATATCTAAATCAATTATTCGAGTAAGCTCATACTATATTTTCCTTTTTATGATGTTCTGTATGATAGAGTGATAGGACATGATTTTGTCCCACAGTGCCCAACTTGCTGAGTTTTGAATGAATTTGGAATGTTGAATTGATTTAATTGATCATTAATATTACGTGCATTTTTCTTAACCCCAAACTTTTTTTTCTGTTTTGCAGTTGGATAAGTTTGCTAGTATCCGAAAACCAAGCAGCAGACGTGATAGACCTACAATTCCAAATTTTAAGTGTCCGCCATTATCCAATGGTGACTGGCCTGCAATATCACCAGAATACGATGAATTTTCTTCAAATCAACTGCCAGAAAAGGAAGTTCTTTCACTCTTTGAAAAGATGATGGTAAGTTTTGTCCAATAGAGTGGAAGCCGGTTGAACCTGACACATTGGGACGGCCAGTTTGTCCATCTTAAGAGATGTCCAAGGTTAACCGAAATACCATTTCCTCCCTGCCGAGGAACGTCACCATATATAATAATGTTGTTTCACTTGAAGCAATTTTAACTAAGGTGATTGACAACCTGAAGCCACTTGTGAATGTTTAGGCACTCCACCCAATCCTCTCCAATTTTTAATTGATAGTGATATCAAGTCCATGTGAGATTTCTGCATTAATTCATTTTTGTTTATCCCAATTCTGAAAAACTAAATGTTCAAAGATGATTTGAAAATGCTTCAAGTTTTATTAATAAAGGATGTCAATATCAGTGTCACCAAATAGATACTTCAAATGTAACTTGGAGACAATTGTGGCTTCAGTTTGATATGAGTGGAATATACTTTGAGGTCTCTTGTTTCTAGCTGTCACCGTAAATTGCCTATTTCCAGAAATATGTGTTGTATTTTATCAGCTGCTTATCACTTGGTGTTGTGCTTGCATCTTTAAAGTTTGTGAAAGAGTTGTAGTGGCTGCTAGCTGTCGACCATAAATGAATTTCCAATGTGTTTTTATAAACTCTTTGATGAAAAGGTTGCTAACTTTACATACTGAGTATGACAGGATAGTCTATTGGGACAGACATACCACCAGCTATAAATGTGCTTTGAGTCTGAAAATGTTTTTGGACATTTAAATGGTGCAAAGGAACTTAGCTTAAATTCTATTTGTAATTTGTACTTAAATTATACTTGTAAATGTTAAATATTTTATATTATAGAAAGGTTAAACCCTGTTACACTAGAATGCAGATCCGCATCTGGATGTTTTTCATGCGTTGGGCCATTTGGATGATGAGATTTGATACCTTCATCCCCTCTTTAAACATTTATACATTAATGTTTTTTCAAGAGTAGAGTTGGGTACACTATAGTAGTGCTATTCCTCTCCCAGAATTGAATGCTGCAGAAACTTTGTTGCAAATCTAATTGTTCACATTACATTTTGGAAGGATGAGAGAAAACCCAAGAATTGGTGCTGTGAGAATTTGAGATTCAAGGCTGTCTATCTTATTACCAAGAGTAACAAATAGAAGTGAGAAACCAAGATATCATCCTGCTTTAATTATTTTAAAAAGAGGTTCATGTTTGCATGGCAAGGTCAGATGGGAATCAGAGTGTTGGGAGTCAGAGGTGGACAGTGATGAATGGATCATCACCCGCTACATTATTTCCCTGCAGATATTAGATCCCAGTTGACTTGTTGATTGAATCAAATGCATTAAATCAGCATTAAAATAAGCTATATTGAATGCAATGAAATATCATTGACAACATCTAAATTTACTTTCCTTCATTGTTTGAAGTCACACCTGCACTGACATTTTTTCTAAATCTATAGAGATTATTTCTAACCTATTCAAATAGAATTTGAAACACTCTGTGGAGGTTTTTCACTTTTAATAATAATTCTTGGGCTTGGCATAGCTCCTTTCCACGTCTGTAGGTTATCTCAAAGCACTTTGCTGGATTTACTGTGAAGTGATGACTACTGTCGAGTAGTGCCATGCATGATATCTTTAACATCCACCTGAACAGGCAGACAAGACCTTGGTTTAAAGTCTCATCCGATGGATGGCACCTCTGACAATGCAGCACATCCCCAGGAAAGTCCACTTGAGTAAGCAGGCAGGCCCTTGGCTGAACATTTCCCCAGCACTCCATTAAAGTGTCAGCCCAGACTGAGCTTAAAGTTCTGACTGATTTATACACGTCATACATTTTCTGGTATAAAACATGAAGTGCTGATTTTGAGGTGGTGATAAATATAAAAAATTTACACTTCCCTTTTAATAAGTATTCCACTTAAGTGCAATAAAAATAACATAAATTCTCTCAAGATACAAGCTTTTAACATTTGTTATGTGCCACATAACCTTGACTGACATCTCAAAACCTTTGTATTGAATTAGCAAAATGTAAAATTTGCTAGAAACCTGGGGTGCGACCGTTGTCACCCCTAATTGTATCCCTGTGTTATGACAACCGCTTGGTGACTAGGCGGTCTCTGTATCAAGTCTTCCCTGTATCATGCAAGTTCCCTCTCTTGAGTGAAACTCCACGACTGAGAATATACACACGACGACAGGTAATCCCAATGCCTTATTGCGCAACGAAGGGATGTATTCATCAACGTCCTTCGCACTACCAGACATCTGACTTCAGCAGTAACCTGCTTGTGTTTCTCTCTCCTTCCTTGAGCTTTACAGGACTCGAGAAGCACTGTATAGAAAGCTCAATGGTGGTTTATTGGTCGTTAACCCTATGCCTAGTTTACACTACTTGGAACATGATAACGTTGCAACGTTGAGGAATAGAAAATACCCTGACACTAAACTATGACACGGGCAGCTCACCCAGGTCACAGACTTAGTGTTGCCAAGGCTGTCCTTATCGCTCTAAGATTATATTTTGGTCCTTAGACCGTAAATGCACTTAAAACAAAAACGACTTACTTTGCACAAAATCTCAATATATAGAGAATATCTACATTAATAACCTTAATAAAAGAGGTAGAGCGATAATTTACATAAGGGAACCGTGACAGGGGGTAGAAATTCTACCTGGATTTACTTGATTTTCTTTGTATTTCATAGTTCAGGATTTGGCAAATTCTTAAATGTAGTTTAAGAACCTTGCCAAATTCTGGATTCTCTAAACTAAATAGATAATGCTGGAGTCAGGTTGAATTTCTCCCCAAATGTGACTTATTATGCCTAACTGATTCTTTGGAAGGTTTTGTATACCAGAGAGATCTGATGGCTGAATTTCTTTTCAGTTAATGGTCTTGTGTCAATATTGATTGATCATGACTTGGTGTGATATTTATTTGATCACTATAATGCTTCTCAAGAACAAAATCATAACAGCATAGGACACCTAATGGATTCTCTTCACCTGCTGTAAGTATGTCTTCCAGTGCCTCATGCAAAGCTGGTGAACTGAAGGGTTGGTCCTTCATACCATGTGTGTTAACTTGGCATCTAGGCCATTGACCAATAAAGCAACTCAGTTATTCTTTAAAATTCATATTTCTTTTCTAGTTGGAGCAGCTGTTTTTGTATTGGTACAGAATTGAGGGTATAAGGCTGCTGGAAAAAAAACGTGTTTAATAGCTACACAGCTAGGATGAGTAACTCAGTACAGAAAACAGGTCAGCTTCAATGTGCTACAACATCTCATCATCCAATGTGCAATCATTCACTGAGATTTCATACTCCTCCAGTCAATTAGTAAGTTGTATGTGATTTTACAAAGGGTTGACAGGTGTCAGAAAAAATCAAGTGCTAAAATTTAGTTAACTTTATCAGAGCAGCATTTTAGAGCTACAAAAACAAATTAAAATGAGGGTATGAAATAACAACAGCTTGCATTTATATGGCACCCTCACGCAGGGCAGCATCACATGACTCCTGTGAGGGTGAGGCAAGTGGAATTTGCTGTTGTACTGACTTCCACTTTAAATACTAACTACTGTAAATGTATTTTCCTTGTGCTTCCAAGGGTGATGGAACTCAACGTGAATTATGAACACTTAATATTATTCCAGATTATTAACTATTTTGTCACAAATAAACACAAAAGATGATGTACAAAATTGAAGCTGAAGTTCCTGAAGTACAAAAACAAATATTCTGACAATTTTGTTGTGACCAACCAAACTTATGAGTTTAAGTGGGGTGAGCAAGGGATCGGAGTCAACAATACTGCAAAATTTCCAATAAGTAATTTACAATAATGCAAAATGACATTTATATGCCGCCTTTCATGTCAGGAGGACTTGCCAAGGCACTGGACAGTCAGGGATTCTGACCCGAGTTGGGGGTTGGGATCATGGAAGGTGGAGGGCAAGGAGTGTAGGAGGGTGGCCGAAGGCTTGGTCGAAGAGGAGAGTCTTGAAGGAGACAAGGGAAGGAGCGAGACAAAGGGATTATGGAATGGACCAGGCCTTTGTCACTTCCCTGCAGGGCTATTCCAATGCCCTCCTCGCTGGTCTCCTCGGATCCACCATACACAAAATTAATATTAATTCAGAACTCTGCCTCCCGGATATTCATCTGGACGAAACTCCATAGGTCCATTACGCCAGTCCTTCCCAGGCTTCACTGGCTCCCAATTACTGAACGTTGATTGAGGTGAGAGTGCTACCAACTGAGTGTGGCTGACATCTTGAGAAGGAAAGTGTAATTAAAAGAAGCTGACAGATTTATGAAGATCATGTTTGACCCACCTTGTTGAATTCTTTAATGAGTAGCAGCTGAATTAGATGATGGAAATGTAGTGGATGTGGTGTTTTGGGAATATTAGACTATCTTTGATAAGTTCCCACATAAGTGTCTCATTGCTAAAATAGGGGCACGTGGAGTCATAGAAAAGATTGCAGAATGGTTAGAGAGAACAGAATAAATAGAAAATAGAAGACAGGGAAAAAGTGAATGGCAGCTGCTCAGGAATAAGTATGAAGCGGTGTTCTGCAGGAAACAGTTTTAGGACTACTACTATTCACGAAAAGCACGAATGATTTGGACACTGATATAGGAGGTGTGATGTCAAAATTTGATAGTGACAAACTGCGGGGCATGGTAAATAATGGGAATTACAAAAAGATTCAAGCGGACATTAATAGACTTGCAGAATGGGCAGTAGGTGGCAGATAAAGTTTAATGCAGTATATCCTGTATGGTAAGAACCAAAGGGGATAATGAATAAGTGGATTTAGGGATTCAGAGTCGAAAGACGTTAAAAGTAACAGCATGGGTGGCTAATTTTATTTTAGTCAGCCAGGTATCTGACACGTGCGGAAACCCATCACTATGCTTAAAAATATCAAAAACAAACTGAGAGTTCCATATGTTCCACCTATACATGGAAATTCCAAAGATATTATTGGGATGGACTGTGCAGTC